CGGAGGATGTAATGCTTAAGGCCCCCGGGTGGGGATAACATTAGGCAACACTTCCCACTGGACCAAACGCTACCCGGTCGGTGTGGTTTCGGGATCAGACCCCATAGCATGGGATGAGACCAAAATGCCCCCAACCGGATTCCAAGGCTCCTTCCCCAGACCCCGGTACCACAAATTTGGCAAACCTGGCAAAGGAGGATAGCCGTGTTCCATGGGTGTCTTTGCCAATTGAAGACGACCCGTCCAGCCCTGAGGGCAGAGTTGCTTGAGCACATTATTATGTGTGACCAGCACTCTGGAGACCTTGGAGGCAGAACGCACCAGCCTCCTTGAGCAGGCGACATTTTTACTAGTAGGCCACCGCACATCTACATGCAACACCCCCTAGTGTCGCCTGGCTCTCTTGGCCAGGGCCACTACCGTGCTACGAGATGCGGCCTTAGACGCACGTGTTTTCGCCGACAAGCTGAGCCGGGGTACGTCCCCACCTCAGTGACGCAGACTGGACATCCTCCACCCTCTTTGTTCAGGGAATGGTGGGTACAGTCTCAGAGCTTCGGAGTGCAATGAACCAGAGGGTTCAGATCGAATCCGCTAGCCAGTTGGTCTTGCCATGGGCAAACGGAGGGCACCCCAAGCACAGAAAACACAACGCCCTAGGGCATCGTCCGCTAGCCAGAGTCAGCCAGGGGGCAAGCGCTTATACCCTTCCATGGTAGGGGATGGTAGTGGCGTGCCCCCAGGGAGGTAAGAGCCAGGTGGTGGCTCCTCACCCTCCCTGGGCGGACGTTTACATGACAGCAGGGGAGGCATGTTTGACGCTCACCTCTGCAATGGGGGGGGGGGCATGTTCGGTGAATGGCCAGGTCACAACTTAGTAACTACTTCAGGTCTTGGGGAACTCATCTCATGGGGAAAGGGATCACCCCCGCTCGCAACTGTCGAACACATGGCCACATATCCCTGTCATACACAGATTGCGCCGGTGTAGTCCGGTTTGGATTTGGAGACGGCGGGTGACCGACCCCTGGACCTTCCCAGGTGGTGACATCCGTTTATGGGATACCGCTGAAATCTCCATTTCCCCCCGTCAGTGTCTCCCCTGTTGGGCACTGCTAGGGGACTCCTGCAAGGCGGAAGCAATCAGACAGGAAGTAGCAGTTTGCTGGGGAAAGACTCCATACACAGGGTACATCAGCCGGAACTAAGGCCAGGCTTCTACCCAAATGTGTTCGTAGTACCAAATCTACAAGTGGCAGGCGTCCAGTTTTGGACCTAGGCAGACTGAATCAGTACGTGCTCCTCGATCGGTTCCACATGGAGACACCATTCAGGGTTCTTCTCTCCATCCACCGTATTGACTGGCTAGCCCCGCTAGACTTAAGCGGGGCCTACCTGCACGTACCGATGCACCTGTTCGGGTTAGGCACAGTGCCCTACGTGTTCACCAGAGTGATGAAACAGGTAGTGCTGCTGCTTTACCAGATGTCGGTACACCCCAATCCTAACCCAGACTTCTGTTTACCAACAACCCGGGCAAGGGGTAATAGCCAAACGTGTCAGGCTAACACAGGATTTACTTCACCAGTTGGGCTCGTTAGTAAATCGACAAGTTCCACCTCGACCCAACACGCAGTTGGTGTCCCTGGACATGGAGTTTTGACACAGAGGTAAGCTTGGCTTAGCTATTTCAAGCTTATTGCTTAGCGCTAAGCAGCCTAGCCGAATGCCTAGTCAGCGTTCCCTTGGTGTCCCTTCGTGAACTAATACGGATCATCGAAATGATGACCTCGGTTCGAAGGGTCGTTCCCCAGGCCGCACTACGCAGCCGCCCGGTATAACGCTTGTTATAACGCCGAGCTCTCCTATGGGAACTAGATAGGCGGGTTTCGATCTCGGACCAAGTGAAGGAAGCCCTGTCCTGGTGGTCGTCACTGACCAACCTCGGGCAGAGGGGCCCCCTTGGACCCGCTCGCCGCAGTATGACTCTGG